GGGAATTCTACCCAGTCTCAGAGGGATCATGGCCTTGCTGACACCCCAATTCCAGACCTTAGTCTCCAGAGGGCTCAGATAATAATACAGCTCTGTTTTTTTGAAGTCAAGTTCATTGCGGTGCTCTGTGGCAGCCCCAGGGAGCTGGCGCAATCCTCCACGTCCCCTTCTCTACTGTTCACAGGTGTATTTACCTTCTTTGGTGGTAAGCAGCTCGGAGGGCAGAAAATCGGACTTTGCTCATGTTCCTGTCCCTGGGACAGCTCAGCAGTGCAGAGTCAGGACACAGTGAGCATGTGTTGAGCTCAAATAATTAGACATTTCCCCCAAATAATGCAGCTCATTACTGTTATGAATTTTCTATAATTTACACATCAGCTTTTGGCACTAATTGTCATTGAGGAAATACAAGTGCCTCTTCATTGCCAAGTGACGTTTAGATAGAACCAGGAAATAAATACCTGTGGGAAAAGACAGGAGCTTATTTTGATAGTATTCTAGCAGTGGTCACTGAGGCCCACTGAACACTCGCTGAATGACAGGCGATGCTTTGTGTCCTTAGTATGTATCCCTTCTTTGAATCCTCATTATGTCACAGTGCCGGGGAGTTGACTGTTGGACCCAGCTCATTGATGAAAAATAACGATGCTTGCTTAGTGGAGTTGAGAGTTAAACTTGGGCACTGTGATCAGAAACTTTGCTCTTAACCACTAAACAATTATGGCATACAAACTCTGACCTTTTCTTTTTGTGGATCCAAAAAAAGTCCTCCATTTTGAGGTATACAAATGATAATGTGTTTGGATTGCTCTCCATATAAATATGTGTGAGAGAGTGTTGAGTGTGTATTTATTCTGAAGTATAATTGGCATTTCCATATACATCTATTCTATTTGTTCAGGCATATTTAGAAACTTTAGAGCCAGGTTTCCTAAGCTGCCATGCAACTTTGGATATGGATAAAATAAGTGCACATATTTTATGTTCAAATACATGTGTTTCCATCTCTTTACTGCAGGGCTTATTAGGGGCTCTCAGGAATGGGGAGCCCATTATAGTCAGAGAGCTATGCTGCTGTGTGCTCCTGGATCTTTCATTTGAAGGAAGTTTTCCAGCAAAAGAAAAGTTAAGCCAGGCACCATGGCACATACCTGTAATCCCAGCAACTTGACAGGTTGAGGCAGGAGGATTGAAAGTTTAAGGCTAGCCTCAGCAACTTAGTGAGGCCCTCAGCAATTTAGTGAGACCCTGTCTCAAAAGTGAAAAAAAAAAAAATAGAAAGGTTTGGGAATGTGGTTCAGTGGTAAAAACATTTCTGAACTCAATCCCTAATAATAAAAAAAAAAGTTCAGTTACTCTCATTAACATCACAAGAACTGATATAAATCTCTCTCTTTTTTTCTGCTTATATAAACCAAAATCTTGGAAAGACCCACAGTAAAGTTATGAGAATGGGAAACAGCATCCAACTTCTCAGCCTTTCTGGACACAATTGCATTTTAGGGGAACTTATTCCATATGTGACCTTTATCCAGAAATTCATTCTCTCTGGCTGTTTTCCCCAGACTTTCAAATCACATCTTTTCAGGGCTGCTTTGCTGGGGCTGGCTGTATCATGACCCAATGCCATATCATTATTGGGAAAAATTCAATGATTTTCACTGTGTTTTATTTTAGGAGAACCATATGGAAGCTTGACAGAAAAAAAAAAAAAAAAGAAAGAAAAAAGAACAAAACTGAGTAACACTGGAGAGATGGCATAATGTAACTTTTTTCCTGTTGCCTCTGGTTCTAATACAGAATTAGGCTCTGTCCTAAATCTAGAATTGTACTTTGCAGTTCCTAGCTTCAAAGTATTTTATAAGTCACATATTTTATTTTATTTTTTATTTTTTGCCACAGGGAAGTAAACCCATTTTTCTTAAATAACCTAGTAAAGGATTCTTATTGGAGCTTCACCTAAAACACATTACTATGATTTTTTTTTTCGTGGTTCTGAGGATTGAACCTGGGGCACTCTACTAGTGAACTACATCCTCATACTTTTTTATTTTTTAATTTTGAGACTGTATCTCATCAAATGGCAGAGGCTGGCCTTGAACTTTCAATCCTGTCAGAGCCTACCAAGTAGCTGGGATTACATACGTGCACCACCAGGCCCAGTCTACTCTGAATTTTTAATAAAATTTTGACCTGAAGGATGTCATAATACAGCTCTTTGCAACATTACTATAGAGTTAGGACAAGCCAGGGCTTGAAGCTCTGATCTTGAAATAATTGTTTAATTTTTATGCATCTTGATTTCTCATGTGACATTAGAATAGATCCATCATGGTGCTAAAGATTTTGTAAAAGGTATGTGAACCAAACAGGTTACTTATTGTTTGCACACTATCTCATGAAATTAGCTCTATGGGTTTTCACCATACCTAAGGGGATGTCTGAAGTGGTCTTATTAAAATTTAGGTCGGTTAATACATATGAAATTTACATGGTATGTGCTGAAGGGACATCTCAAATTTTCAAAACAGCTGAAACAGAGGAAGAAAGTGAAGTTTTATGCCAGTTGATTATGCAGTCAGGATGTACCAGAGGTAGTTTCTGAGCTGAGCTGTGGCTCTAGTCACCTCTCAAGGTGAGGAGGCAGACCCTGAAGGTAGTATTGATCTAGAATCAAGATACTGCTCACAACAGAATGTGTTCATTGTACCTTGAGTAGGAATCTCTGTGGCAGTTGAGATTTACTTAGCTGTTATCACCGACACAGGATGGGCTCATTAGAAACCTGTGTAGAATATTTAGCGTGGAGTTTGGCACCTCGGTATGTCCCTGGTGAATATTCTCAATTCCACCCATTTCCATCCCTCCATCCACTTCGCCCACCAAGAGCACAGAAGGAAGTCATTTCTGTGCTTCATTCTGTCTGAATCATGTTCACAGTGACTCAGCCATTTCTATGGAGATAGACCAATCCAACAGCTATGATCTCTTAATTTTGCACATACACTAGGGTATTTGTGGGGGAAGAAGAAATCATTCTCTAGAGAATCAGTATTGTCCTCTTATAAATATCAGAATGTTGAATTTTATTTCAGATAGCCTGGCTGTTCTAAAATCTGTGGGGTTGTAAGAAAAAAAGTAGCTTTTGTATTTTCTCAGGTTAAGTTGCATTTTTTAAGTTCTATATAGTACCATAAAAAGTTAGTTTACTGATGAAAACTATATTTGAAAAATTTTAAGTACAATTTGTCTTAGATTTTTCACTTAAAATAGCAACTTGTTTTTAAAGTTGACACTTTGAACTTTCTCTATTAATTGAGTTGTTGGGGTTTTTCTGTTTTTTTGTCTTGCCTTTTTTTTTTTTTTTTGGTGTGTATAAGGAGTGATGAACACAATATCAAGTCTTCTTCCACATTACAATAAGAAAATTGCTCTTCCAAATAGCTATTTTAAAAAGTATATCTACAAAATTGTTACAAGTATTTTTGCCCTTGGAAATTCTGATGGGACAATTTAAAATCATGAGCATGTTTATTTGTATTTGCCTGATATGGTGAATGTTAATTTCCATGTTGGTAAAGGGTCTCAGAGGCACCCAGAAGGCCTGGAGCTTTCCATCAACCATGCCGAGAACATACTCTATGGTGTTCCTGCCCTGGCCCAGGTCATTTCTGGCCACCCCAGCTTGAATGCTCCTACCTGTTAGTTTGAAGATGGTTTGTCCCCTCCTGTACATATGTTGACATTGAATTTGCCAACGTAGCAGTATTGACAGAGTGCAACTTGGAAGGGGGATTAGGTCATTCAATGTGATGAATGCCTCTGGGTTAGCTCTTGGTATGTGAGGGAGATCTCGCTTTCAAAGGAAGGGATTGTTACTGTGAGGAAAAGTTGTTATAAAGTGGGGCTGCCTCTCATGTTTTGTGTTTTCCTCTCTTTTCTATTTTTGTGGTGCTAGGGATGGAACTGGGGGCCTTGCACGTGCTAGGCCAGTGCTCTGCCATGGAGCTGCACCCTAGCTGTGTGCTGTCCCCTTTACACATGCATGCTCGCTTTTCTGCTTGGTCTGCTCGGAGTTGAAGCATGAAGCTTTCACAAGCCAAGTCAATACCAGTGCCATGTTCTTGGACTTCTCAGTTCAGAACTGTTTGCCAAAACAAACCTCTATAAACCACCCAGTCTCAGGTATTGTCCTTGCAACAGAAGTGGACCATGACACCATCCAGGAGGCCAACAGCACTTCCTTGAGCAAGGCCCTTAGAGTAGGAAGGACTGAGAAAGGAAACCTGTGGCTCCTTTTGTCCACACATCAGCTCCTAGAAGGGTGGCTATTGATGGAACAGCAAGGGTCCCTGGCAGGGTACCCTTTCTTTGTTGAACATTGGTTCTTTCATGGTCCACCTGAGCAGGACCTCTGCCCAGATCAGATCCCACCTTTCTGCCTCTCTTCAACCTCAGGTCAAGTCACGTTGCCTACTTGCGCTCTTGCAGAAGGGTACCTTACAGGCTAATGGTCATTTTCTTTTCTGCTAAAGAAACTGCTCTCCTTCCCATTTAGTTTTTTTTTTTTAATATTTATTGTTTAGTTTTCAGCGGACACAACATCTTTGTTTGTATGTGGTGCTGAGGATCGAACCCAGGCCGCGTGCATGCCAGGCGAGCGCGCTACCACTTGAGCCACATCCCCAGCCCCATTTAGTTATTGATGCTCATGTCTCTTCATTATCAGTCAGAGTCTTGAGGAAGGCTGAGTGGTGGGATTTATTTTTACTACTACTTTTGAAGAATACTAAAAATACTTCTAAAAGTACCATTTTAAAAAATTCTGTGAAAAAGACAAAGCCCAAAGCAAAAACACTCCGTCTCCTTTTTGAAAACCAGAGTTTGGTCTTCTTTGAAGTCAACTAACAGCATTTGTGTGTATGTAAAAACCTTTTAGTTTGATTATCAGTCTGTTGGCAAAAAAAAAAAAAAAAAAAAGGAAGACAACGACCACAGAATCCTTTTAAATGCTTCTTTTATTTCGTTGGTTGTACATTGGGTGAGTGAACTGAATATTACAACCAAAACATAGAATTGATACAAATTAGACTCCTGTTTACACTGTAAGATAATGAATGAGGGAAATCTTTAAGTGTTACAGAAAGATTTAGTAGAAATGTTACCAGTGGTATACGGCTGAAAGAATATTTCTGTGAAGTGCTGTTATATCCTGAAAACCAAGAGTGAAATGTAGTTCCCATATAGGTGGAGAGTTAGTCTCTTAACTACAGTATTTGTTGACTTGATATCTTCATGTCTTGGATATTGGTGATTTTGTTTTTGTAATTAAACAAAGCATTTAAGATTTATTCATCATAGTCAGACTTCTGAATATAAACAAACTTTTGGCAAATAATATTTATACAGAAAAATAGTTTTAGATCCTCTCAAATCCCAGAATTATTCTATAAAATTACATTATAAATAAATAAAAAGCAAAATCTGTTGTACATATATTTGTACATCTATGCATTTGCCTTGCCTCCTCCTTATTGTAGATGGCATATTTATGACTCTTTGCATATAATCACAATTCTGGAAAATGGATATCATAGTAAAAAATACAGTCTTCTATATTTGCTCAGGGATACGGGTGATGTTTTTGATGCTCCATTATTAAAGGGCTGAAAATAGTTGTGTGCTAATAATTTTTAAAATCAAAATCATGAAAGGAAAGGAAAAAAAAGACATTGTTATAACAATTAGTCTACAAAAATATTTCAGTGATTCCCGTAATTTACCGTTTAGTAATGTATACTATGTTTTCAATGAGTTTAAATGAATTAATGAAGAAAAGAAACAGAAAAAAAAAAGTTTGAGTGTTTAGGCAAGTTGTAGCATAACTACATTGTTATAGTTGAGAAACTTACAAATATCAATAACACATAAAGATGAAACTACCAAAGTAATACAAGTTAGTTACAATATCTTTCCACAAATTAAAACAAATGTAACGATACAAGCACTATGTAAGATTACACTTAGGATGTGATTTTCCTTTGCTAGGGTTATCAGATCTACAATACAAGATAAATAGATAGTAATTAGACTCTGACCAACATGAATTAAAATCCAGATTTCTTTTTTCTCAAACAAAAAAATGATATGGTTGGTGCATCTGGTTTTCAGAACAGGCGATGATGCCCAAATTTAAAATATTTTATATTCAATCTCAAAAGTCAAAATACTTCAATCACTAAAATGTCCACAAAGAAAATGGATGTTTTAAACAATTACACATAATATCCATTTATAACAGCTGTTTTGTTTCTTAAACAATAATTTAAAAACTATGTAGGTACTGTATAGGCTATGTGCAACATATAAAATGTGAAATATGAAATATTTGGTACGATAGTGCTTAAAATAAACTTTAAAACAAACTTTCTGAACAAAATTTAATTGTATCGCTATTAACTTGAAGATCAACCAAGTATTTAAAAAAGTAAACAACATTAAAATATGTTTCATCCATATATAGTATATATATGTATGTGTATATATAATATGTATGTACTTGTATTAAAGTTTTTTATACTTTTGAGACATAAAATATGCTTTAAGGTGAAAGAATTAAAAGAACTATTTTTTCCATGCTGTAGTTAGTTACAACCCTTTAATCCAACTTTTGAAATGCAAAACAGTAATGGATTTTTTAAAAAGTGAAACTATCTACTTTTTTTGTTTACATAGTAATTTAGATTAAAGTCACAGTCCAATTTGCAGTGACTAAACTCAAACTTACTTAAATTAGAATATTATACAGATCTCCTCACCTACAGCTTCCTCGTTTGACTAGGTTTTTAGTTTAGAAGAGTTATTCTGTAACAGGCAACTGGATGGTGAGTTTGAAAGACTAATCCCTTAGATTAGACTGTTGGCATGGGCCTCGCATTCTTGTCAAGCTGGATGAAGTCTGGCAAAATCTAGGCACTTCTACAAAGTCTCTCTTATAAAACAACTTTAAAAATATACTTGTAAAATAATACCTTCAAGACTTTGTTGGGTGGGGTATGAAGCTCATACCGTGCAAAGTTTCTTTTTCATTCTATTTAATGTTATTCTAGAATCACACGATTCAATGCGGCATCTCCAGGCAAACCAAATACCACACTTTGATGTGTCCCCAGTACTTGTGCTTGAACGTCTATTCAGATTTTAGACCTGCAGGACAGGTGTCTGTTTTACTTCACTTCTCGCCTTTGCTGCGGCATTTGTCTCATCAAGAAGTGAAACTTACCCTTTGATCCAGGGAGTCAATGTAATGACAGCAGTCGGAGTTAGAATCGAACCTGCCCTCGGAATAGGAGTTTAAACTAATGCTAATCATTTATTGCTAAATTTGAGATATTCTGAGTCGAAATGAGTACATGGGCCGGACTGTTCTGCATCAGCTATAGTTATGGAGATAAGACAATATTCCTAGGACAGAAAACTATGTTGAGAAACCCTTTAAAAGTAAACTTTATCCTTTATGTCTTTAAACATCACAGCTGGTCTCAGGTAGTTAACTATCTTAGGTTGGAATATACTAAGCATACCATATTTAATACTCATATATGATATAGCAGCACTAGCTCCTTAGAGTGGTGGTCTGTCCGGAAGAACTAAATCTTTATTTAGCATGCAGTTTGTGGCAATTCTATTGAGGAGGAAACAGGATAGTATGTACAGTAACAATGTTTAGTTATTCTCAATGCAGATTCTTGGCATTCCATTCCGTTTCTGCTGATTATTTCAGAATTATCTGTTAAAGAAAAAGACAGGCATGATTTAGACCTCCTTCTGCGAGGGAAAACACCGAGTTTAAGTTTTACTCTTTGCAAACAGACATTTGAAAATAGGTGCTTTCTCTAATTTCTCATCATTTTGATGTAGTTATATTCTCGCACAATCCCCACCCTCATGCTGAAAAATTTTACATTTAACCACTTTTGCTCTTTGGCCACTGTCAGAAACATTGACTTAAATGCACAGTGTTTTCTGTAAAACTGTGACAGCATATATGTGGCGTGCAGTCTATTTGGGACTCTCTCTTTATAATTTTTGCTTTTTATTTTTTTATTATATAGTTCATGTTACTGTTCAATTAATATTTGCTATGGGGATCAGAAATCAAATCAGAGGATTTGCTTTACTTGAAAAGTCATTTTAAGCTTAAATAGAAAAATTTTAAAATTTATAATCAATCTGGTATTAACTTATATTCAAAATCTATTAACTTATATTCAAAAATACATTCCCATCAAAAGCAATTCTGCTCCTGAGATATAACCACTAGTTTAAAATCAGATTATGTTTAAATGTAACATATTAAAAGCATTTTAAAATACTCTTAATAAATCCAAAAGCACAGATAAAGAACAAATAAGGCTGAACTATCAAATGCAAACTACTGTCTGTCCTGTCGTTCCATCTCCAAGTTCATTTCCAACTCCATCCCTTTTCACAGGAGAGGAGTTTGGCCTGGGTGCTCTAGTCCATTAAATTGTCAAGCTTAAAAGCCAAGTTTTGAACATATTCTAACAAAAGCATCTTTGTGCAATGTTTGACTAGATTTTGTGTCATTAATAAACAAAATGCTTATTTTAAAACAGTTAAGAGTCTCTGTTTAGGAAATAATTGATAAAAATGCTTTATGGTGAGGATCAACAAACATTCCCACACCCTGGGATTCAATTCAATTCATTTCTACAAATGTAATTACTATCCATATGTCAGAGTTTATACATGTGGATCTTTCCCCAGAGTGGGTCCCCTGTAGTTTATGCACAATAGTTTCAGCACACTCAGATGGTTTCTCTCACAAAATAAACATGCACATTCTTTATTTTACTGAAACATACAGATGTGTATAAAACTGACAAAAATAGAGAAAAAACTTATTTACAGTAAATATTTATACTAAATGGAAGTTCAAGCTTTAGATATTAAGATCATTCTTTGTTTTTTTTTTAAAGTACCTAGGAATTTAAAATTGATTGGGAAAATAACATTCCTTATTTCATATACTGATAGATAATGGACAAAAATAAAGTGATTTTAAATGAAATATTATCACTGTATCTAGAATTTGAACACTATTATCATTATAATTGGGGAATAGCCAGATTCTCCAAATGGTCAATTTATAACTTCATTTTAGGTTTAGATATGTGATTATTAAATGGGAATTTTTTCTACTTCATCCTTGAGCTCCAATGCTATCTATAGCATTCCAAACAAGAATATGCCCCAGGACATCAAATCATGTCCCAGTTTTCTATTTCCTTTTCATAGTAATACATATTCTGGAATATATTTATAGTCCTGCTTACTAACTGAAATCAAAAGGCCTTATAGAATAAAATTCCAAACCACCTGGAAACAAAAGTGTTCTACAGAAAGCCTAGCAACAGGCAAAGCAGCACAGGCCAATCTGCATTACAGAAAAAGTTACGACAGTGCCTGGACCTTGAATTTGACCAAGAGACCTATGTCATGACCACTGAGGTTTAATTGGGCCATAAATCTATTTCCAAGTTAAACTACAAACAGTGACTAGGTTCACCCAGACTACTTTTCCCTCTGCCCCAGCCTACCCATAGCTGTTATATCAACAAAGACACAAATAAAAATGAGCGTCAGGGCTACCAAATTTGCAACCATTGACTGCTGCCTGCATCTGGCCAGAAAACTCTGGCTACCCTGGGCCATGTCTTTGTCTATCTTGTGGAATATATATATATATATATATATATATATATATATATATATATATGGTATAAAAAATAAATTACACTCCTAGCAGCCATGAACTTCAAGAGGTTCAAGGGATTTGATCTTAGGAGTCAAGAAAGCTTTGGGCGTTTCTCCTTAGCCGTTCCGGTTTTCAGTGGCAACATTTTTCTTGAAAATACCATTTATTATTAAGTTATTTTTTTCTTTTTGAGAACTATAGCCTGCTGGTAGAGTGTGAATTAAGTGCACTCTGGGGTGAAATACACCCTAGAAATAGACACAGAATAGAAATTCAGATGAAGAACGGCTGCCGACAGATGCTTCTTATTTAACTGTTGCCCACTGGATTGCTGCTCCTGATGTTAGGGGTTTCAGGACCACACAGGCCCTAGGGAACTAGGGGAGACAGGATGGATCCTGCTGCAAAAGCATCACCAGGACAGGCTGGAGGGAAGAAGAGAGCCAAGCTCTGTGTCTCTGTGGGTGCAGGAGGTGGGGAGCTGCTTAGAGGGAAAGAAAGAGGGATCTTCTATCTGATTTTTAATACAGCTTTTCTTGATTCAGATTATGTTTTTAATTGGCAGTAAAGAAACATAATTCGAAGCTGCCTGCATATTTTAGTATAGGCACAAAACACAAAACACACTTTCTTAAAATAACAGGCTTAACCCTGGAAGACGGATCATGTATCTGATAGGGACAATCCCTCACCCTGAGCTTGTTCATTAACAAAGTGGTGAACTGAAACGTAGATCATCAAAGTGAGCTCAACAGACCAAATGTCAGTGGCTTATTTCCTGCCCCACACTTGGTCCAAGTGGAGGTGGATACCCAAAGTTCCTGACACAACCCATGAGGCGTAGCAACCCACGCCTTCTTGGAAGAGGCAACTGAGAATTTTCATGATATCTCATGAGATTTACAGGAGTGTAAGTCAGGGAAACAGCCCCCATGCTAGGGCTCCTGCTACAGCTCTCTTCTCTGAAGCATCATTGTTTTTGTTTTTTAATACACATTCCCTTGATTTTTAGTAGGCCCTTAGAATTTATCTAGGGTCTGATGAGCTAGATATGTATTTTAGTCACATTTTGAAGACATGGAAAAGATGACACAGTTTTCACTGGCAAGCACAAGCCAGATGTCTGCTCAGTCTGCTCCTGGCAAAGGAATCCCCTCCAGGACATGGAGGTGATTGTCTGAGATGGGACCAGAGGAAGCAATGATTTCTTGTCTAGACCTCTTCCAGTGCCAACTGAGGAGGGTGCTCAGAAGAACCCCTGTGAGCTCAGAAATCAGGGGAAGGGGAGGCCTTGGGGAAGTACCTAGAGAAAACAGAGCCTGGAACACTAGATGGGGGACAGTGGGGACTGTCTGAGGAGCCAGATGGATAGGAACTGCTGAGTGACCTGTAAGACGGCTGGGCCTGTGTGGCCAATCACATCTTGTCCATGCCCCCTCCCCATGGATGCTACAAACGTTTCTCCTCAGAGCATCAGAAACCCCGACCCAACCACAGCACCACTGCTACAGCTTCCAAGAAACCTTGGCAAGCTATGATGAGAGGACTAAAATCAAATATATTGAACATTTCTGTTTATCTCCCAGGTGGACCAGTCCCTCAAGGAAGTAGGATTTTATGTAATAGAGGACGAGGACGGGAAAAGGAGGTTAACTTCTTAAGATTCTAGCCAATTTTTTATGGCAAATCCAAATGCTGAACTGAAAGCATTATTTCAATTCCTTTTTCCCATTAAAAGGGGAACCTGCAAAAATTGAGAATAGCTGATGCCCAAAAAACCTGCCGTTCTATTTTTAAAACAGAAACACACTTGATCTCAAATCATGAGCAATTTCATGTCTTCAGTGGACCCTCTAGTTATAGCAAGAATATCTGTGATGCAAAAAAATATCAAATGGTTGCAGTAGTCTATTTTTTTTTTTTGATAAGGACAGGAAATCAGACTAGGTGAATTCAACTATCCCCCCTAAGTGGCTTAATTCTGCTTAATAAACATCCTTGAGTCACCCCCATCTGAACCTGGTCCATGATTAATCTCATACCTATTTACCAAAGATGAAGCATGAATGGCTTCATCGAACATCAAATGAGTTGCTTTTCTATCAATGTTAGCAGCAGCCACTTAATGATTCCTGCATCCTCAATGACATCCTCCCCAATTGACAATGGGGAGCATATTAAAAAGTGGGCTGGGTGAAGTACTAAAGAGTAAGCTTGCTGGAGCCAAGTAGGAAGTGACCACCAACGAATGGGCCAGGTGGGGAGTGTGGCATAGTCACTCAGCTCCAGCCAACTGGAGCTGCAGAAACCCAGGCTTCATGTTCCTGAGCTTCCATTTTCCAAAAGAAGCTGGAAATTCAGCAATTAAGTGATGCTCCAGAAACAACTCTGTATGGGTCAAGTATATCTTGGGGTTGAATTCAGCTACGAGCTGCCATTTCATACTTTCATCAACCTCACTTTCTTGGAGGAGATACCTAAGTCTGGACTGCTGTTTCCTGAGCTGGGCATTAGCCCAGGTGACAGTAACATCAGGGGAGGTAACGCTGGTTGAGAGTGAGCAGGACCAGAAGAGAAGGTCTACTAGAGAATTAATCCTGCAACTTTCAGACACTGGCTTTCACTCTAAGGAATAGGGCACTTGACCAAGAGACAGCCTCTACCTACAAAGAAAATATTATTCCTCCCTTGACTGAGTCACCAGTTATGAAATATGCATGCTGTCTCGTCTCTTCCCTAAAGATGATGGATTTAGGCCAAGCCATTCATCATTCAGAAAAGAGCTGACCAGGATGTGAAATGCATTTGGTTAAAAGCAAAATACTCTGTTCAGAAACTGCAACACTGAACCTGAACTCCTTGGCACCGTGTACTCAACAGCTAAACTAGCCAGTCCTCACACAGGAGAGTGCGAAAGGGGACAGAACAAAGTAGGATTTGTTCAGTGTTTCAGAGGCCCCAAGTCTGAATGAATCCTATTGAGTTTTCTACCCGATTGTCCATCTCTA